ATGTGAAGTTGATCCCACTCCAAAAAAGATTTTTAAAACTCACTCCAGAGCCATATAGAAATGGGTGCCAGGTTCATACCAAGTGATAATCACTAGTTCTGATAAAATAAAAAAGGAAGTCTTTTCATGTAAAATGCTTAGATGGAAATATTTTAAGTGTTTTATACGTTTTCTGAACCCAGTAAAACTGGTTTATAAGTCTGGGTTATTTGGTGTTACTCATCTTTTAATTAATAGTATAGCCAGTTACTTTCACAGGAAATCAACATTTATAATAATACCTTACATTTCACTTAACAAGGTAAATCTTATAACCTTCATTTTGTAAATAACAATTCCCCATGGAAAGGGTTAAAGGCTACTGAACTCTGTTTACAAATGAGAAAGCCCAAAGGAATTGACTTACCAACTACAAAATTGAATGAGAAGGACAAGTGTCCAGTTGTACACTTATGTAATTTCTTATTCATACACAAGACGAATGTCCCAGTAACAGTTGGTCAGCAGTCAGGATATTTATACTGGCTTACCAGACTGAATTATTGTTTTATTAATGTTTATTCGGTGATAATACCTAATTCTTTTTATAGCTCTTATTCACTCTGGTAAAGTTTATTTGACTTGACAAGGGGGCCTAGATTTGCATCTGTACTTCTCAAACTATCTGTGAGGAAGGATCCGTTTTCCGCCTAATCAGTCTTGAGCCAATACTTAAGTTAAATAAAATATAAGCAAATTACTAAAATAAAACTTATACCTTTAGTTGTTGCAGCAGTATCAAATTGTCCTAAAGGATTCCAAATGGTTACTCTCAATTACTTGCAGACGTGTGTGTGTGGGTGGGTGGTGTGTGTGTTTAAAAGATCCTCTGGCCCTGGCCGGTTTGGCTCAGCGGTTAGAGCATCGGCCTGCGGTCCGGAGAGACCCGGGTTCGGTTCCCGCTAAGGGCACGTACCTCGGTTGCAGTTTATCCCCGGCCCTGGTTGGTTGTGCCGGTGGCGACCACTCGATGTGTCCCTTTCACATCGATGTTTCTCTCTCTCTCTGTTCCTCTCTCTCCCTCCCACTCTATCTGAACAAAGAATGGAAAAATGTCCTCGGGTGAGGATGATAAAAAGATCCTCTGACTACTCAGACAGGCATTGGTCCTTTCTGAATAGCATATAGACCACTCATGGACTTTTTTGCCTTAACAGAGAAATCTTAAAGCCAGTGTTTGAGCACCGTTGCACCAGACCATGCTGATTTCTGTCACAAACAGAAAAAAGAACCTGGGCTCCCCTTTGTTCCCTTTGATGATTTCTGTCTCCCTTCAACCAGTTTATCCAAGGATACGCTAAAGGGATAGGCACTCCTATCATAAAGCTTGCAGACTTATTCCATTGCTGAGAAAGTCAACTTGGTTTCTTGCTGCAGTTTCACTGTTTACGAGCATGATGGCGTTGGACAATCTTGGTCACAGATCAGTGAGAGCTTCTTTGCAGAGAACTTTGGTGGCACATCATGTAGCCTGGACTCAGGGCTTCCCTCTCAGGTGGACTCCAGCTGGAATGTGTACTGTAGGTAATTGTCCTGCTCCCAAGCACATGTGTTTACAATAAATTGCTTCTTCTCTTACCACTGTAAATGAAGCGTCTCTTTTATGACTCAGGCTACCAGCACTGTTCTGAGTCTTGCTTACCTGGACCTATTCCACCAGAAGTAGGTGGTTTAACAGAACAGCCTCCATTTTAGCAGACATAGCTAGTCTGGACTCAAAGAGAGTCTGGAAGGTAGTGGTCGCAGAAATAGCAGCAGGCATTGTGGGAGGCCAGCAGAAAAAAAGAAACCTATGGGGTGAGGAAGTCAGGAGGGTGATGGAAAAGTGATGCCTCAGGTGGGTTTGATCAGTTGCTATGGTTTCCCTTTTGTGTGTGTGTGTGTGTGTGTGTGTGTGTGTGTGTGTGTGGTACGTGCCCCTAGTGGGAACCGAACCCAGGACTCTCTGGTCCACAGGTCGATGCTCAACCACTGAGCCAAACTTGCCAGGGCAGTTGCTAGGGTTTCTAAGGCCATTTTTAATACCAGAGGCTGGCAGTTGTGTAAGTACGTTGTCAACCTGCAGATTTAGGGGCAGGCCTCCTGGGAAGAACCTGAGGAAGAAATGAATGTATGCTGCTCAGATTGGGTTTCAGCCTAAGAAACAATCCAGAGTAAAAGGTTCCTCTGAAAGAATAATCAAGAGAGTGGATTCGATGGTAAAATTGAAAATGGTGTAGAAGAGGACATTACTGTGCTCCAGAGACCAGCCCTGTTCAGAAGTTCTCCTTCCTGTCACATGCTCAGTATGCTCACCTGGGAAATGACATCATGGAATGACAGTCACTGCTCAGTAAACATGGAGTCAGAATTTCTGGGTGAAAGTCCTAGACCCCAAGTTAGCACCTTGGCAGCCTTAACGAGCCGTCTCACCTTTCTTCACCTCTGGTTTCTCATCTGTTAAACATTCCCTGAGATCTGGAAGCCATTAGGAGGTTCAAATGAAATAATCTATACAAAAATCACAATTTAAAATTTCTCTATTCCCAACACCAACATTCTCCCTTGCTTACCCTAGTCGAAAAAAAACACAATATGAGGTAGACCAATTGCTATTAATGATACTTTTTTGGGGGTTAATTCTTACTTAAGGATATTTTCCCATTGACTTTTAGATAGAGTGAAAGGGAGGAAGGGAGCCAAGAGAGATACATTGATTGTTTGTCTCCTGCACAACCCCAACTGGGGCTGGAGATCGAACCTGCAACCCAGGTACGTTCCCTTGACTGGGAATCAAACCCGAGACCCTTCAGTGCACAAGCCAACGCTCTAACCACTGAGAACACCAGCCAGGGCTGAATGATACTTTTTCAACAATGGCTATCACAGGAGTCCAGGATCCTCCAGAGTCACCATGTACCCACAGCATTTATATCGACTGTTCTGAACAAATAGCTACATGAGAGCATTTGATCTGAAGGCTGATTTTTATCTACAGATGAGAGAGGGACATCTGTGTTTGACAATTTATGTGAGAATGGACACCCACGTGGGCACACCCATTCATACACTTTTTATAAAATGATAAATGATAAGGAATAGCACATAATTATCAGAGCTTTATTTTTTTTTTAAGTAATTTAAATAAATGACAAGTCTCTCCTTATAATCAAACTAGTTGTCATGGTTCAGACCATATGATTGTGGTCCAGAGAGAATTTTATATTACAAGACTCATAGAACTGTCTATGAGAGAGACTTTTCCCTCACCAAAGGAGTACAGTTCTTTTTACCCTGCTTCCCCTAATGTAACATCTAACATAAGCAGAGTACAATTGTTGCAACCAAGAAATTAAGATTGATAACATGCTATTAACTAATCTAGAGCCTCTATTCACATTTGCCAGTTTCCCCACTAATGTCCGTTTTGTGGTTGAGGATTTCTAGGATTTCACATTATGTTTATATGTCCTGTTTCCTTAGCTCCCTTTAATTTATACCTCTTCTTTGTCCATTTTATTTTATTTTTTAATCTTTTCTGACTTTACACTTGGAAGAGCACTGGCCGCTATTTTGTAGAATGCTCTTTAATTTTGGTCTGTCTGCTGTTTTCTCATGATTAGATTGAGGTTATAAATTTTTGACAGGAAAACCACCAAAAGAAAGATGTGTCCATCTCAGAGAATATATCAGTAGGTACGTGATCTCCTCCTCACTGGTGGTGTTAGCTTTGATCACTTGGCTAAGGCGGTGTCTGCTAGGTGTCTCCATGATAAACTTAGCATTTTTTTCTTTGCAATTAATAAGAATTTTTTATTGTGTCTTTCTTAAATTGATGGTTACAGTTGGAGTAAGTGTCATTCAGAGAAGGCTGCAAAGAGTCGCATCCTGGTGGAAAGAGGCTGTGCCCTAGAAAATGATGGAGTCATTATTTAAGTGTTTGAATAGATTTCTCTCAACCCATGCTGAAAGGGATTGCCTGACATTACATTGCAGGATTTTTAAGTCCTACCTCCAGGCAAATCTCATAGTTACTAGCAAAAATGAAAGTGCGAAATGCTTTTTAATGTATATTTAACAACACATAGTCTGGTGATTACTGATGTGTATTCTCTGTGGAATCCCTTTGCTATCAGAGGAGGACGTTAAGAGACAACATTTTTACACATTTATTCTATCTAAATCCATCACAGGTTTACTTTTTAAATATCTGTAACTGTCGTTTATAACACGATCATAAAAGTCAAATACTTTAATTCTAACACAAACTTTGAATCACATGATTACAAATCAATTTTCTGGAAAAGTACAATTACTGTTTTTTCTTACTTAACCTTATGAAATTGCCCGCTGTTAAATGACACTGGAATATAGCCATTAAAAAAAGAAAAATATATATGGCTTAGTAATGGGAGTATTGGAGGTAATGTTACTTTATTCATCTTTTTAATTTAGAAATTCACATAATAGCTCCTATTTAAAGGAATTTTCATCATTGAATCCAGTGTCATGTCTGCTTGCATTGAAGAAATAAAATTCACAAAATGTGCTTAATTCCTTCCTATGGTGTCATATTTAATAAGGATTAAGGTACCATTTTTTGCATTTTTCCTGGGTTGCACAGCAAGAGTTCACGTCTTGTACTAATGTATGCTAAATAGTTGCATAGTATATAGACCATTGTTGTTAAAATAGCAGTAGTGAAGGCATTTTAGATCACAGCCCCAGTGGCCTACATTTTGTTTGTTTTGACATTGTTAAACTCAATCTGTTTCTCTAACTGTGACTCTAATTACTACATTTGCATGGCAGAAAAGTTTGCTTGGTGGGTCGACTTTTATTAACAGTGTTTGCATGTTGTTTTCTGCTCTTGCTCTCAGTGTTTCATGAGCAGACAGAGCACCTTCAGTTACATTGAATAATTATCCACAATCAATAAGTTTCTGTGTTTGTCTTTGTTGTTTCTTTGATGTGGCCTCTAGGATGCTGCCGGCAAGGTGCTGGACCGCTGGGCCATCATGTCTCGAGAAGAGGAAATCATCACCCTTCAGCAGTTTCTGCGGTTTGGAGAAACCAAATCCATTGTAGAGCTGATGGCAATTCAGGAGAAAGAAGGTCAAGCCGTGGCTGTACCGTCTTCAAAGACAGACTCAGACATAAGGACTTTCATTGAGAGCAATAATCGCACCAGGAGTCCCAGCCTCCTTGCTCACCTAGAGAACAGCAACCCTTCCAGCATCCATCATTTTGAAAACATCCCCAACAGCCTTGCATTTCTGCTTCCATTCCAGTACATAAACCCAGTCTCAGCCCCACTGCTCGGACTGCCTCCCAACGGGCTACTTCTAGAGCAACCAGGACTGAGGCTGCGGGAGCCGAGCCTTTCAACCCAGAATGAGTACAATGAGAGCAGCGAATCTGAAGTATCTCCCACACCGTATAAGAATGATCAGACTCCTAATAGAAACGCCCTGACCAGCATTACTAATGTGGAGCCTAAAACCGAGCCAGCCTGCGTGTCCCCCATTCAGAATTCTGCCCCGGTCAGTGATCTGACCAAAACTGAACACCCGAAAAGCTCATTTCGGATTCACCGGATGAGAAGGATGGGGTCAGCCTCTAGGAAAGGAAGAGTGTTCTGTAATGCATGTGGGAAGACATTCTATGATAAAGGTACCCTCAAAATTCATTATAATGCTGTTCACCTGAAGATCAAACATCGATGCACCATTGAAGGTTGCAACATGGTCTTTAGCTCCCTCCGAAGCCGAAATCGCCACAGTGCAAACCCTAACCCTCGCCTTCACATGCCTATGCTAAGGAACAACCGAGACAAAGATTTAATTCGGGCCACATCAGGAGCTGCCACCCCCGTCATAGCAAGTACAAAATCAAATCTCACACTCACCAGCCCTGGCCGGCCCCCAATGGGTTTTACCACTCCCCCACTAGACCCTGTCTTACAGAATCCTCTCCCTAGCCAGCTGGTGTTTTCTGGGCTAAAGACTGTCCAACCAGTTCCTCCATTTTATAGAAGTTTACTCACTCCAGGAGAAATGGTGAGTCCTCCCACCTCCCTCCCGACCAGCCCCCTCATTCCCACCAGTGGTACTATAGAGCAGCACCCCGTGCCACCCTCTGAGCCAGCAGCGCCAGTAGTGATGATGGCCACTCATGAGCCCAGTGCCGATTTGGCCCCCAAGAAGAAGCCCAGGAAGTCCAGCATGCCTGTGAAGATCGAGAAGGAAATTATTGATACGGCCGATGAGTTTGACGATGAAGATGATGACCCCAATGACCCCGGAGCTGTGGTCAATGACGTGAGCCATGACAATCATTGCCACTCCCAAGAGGAGATGAGTCCAGGCATGTCTGTGAAGGACTTTTCTAAGCACGGCAGGTCCCGGTGCATTTCAAGGACTGAAATAAGAAGGGCCGACAGCATGACTTCTGAGGACCAAGAACCTGAGCGGGACTATGAGAACGAGTCTGAATCTTCAGAGCCCAAACTAGGTGAGGAATCCATGGAAGGGGATGAGCACATTCACAGTGAAGTGAGCGAAAAAGTCCTGATGAACAGTGAGAGACCTGACGAGAACCACAGTGAGCCCTCTCACCAGGACATCATCAAGGTGAAGGAAGAATTTACAGACCCCACTTACGACATGTTTTACATGAGCCAGTACGGACTATACAATGGTGGGGGAGCCAGCATGGCGGCCCTGCATGAAAGTTTTGCATCCTCTCTGAATTACGGCAGCCCTCAAAAGTTCTCCCCTGAAGGTGACCTGTGTTCTAGCCCAGACCCCAAAATCTGTTATGTGTGCAAGAAGAGTTTCAAAAGCTCCTACAGTGTGAAGCTTCACTACAGGAACGTTCACTTAAAAGAGATGCACGTCTGCACGGTGGCCGGCTGCAATGCTGCCTTCCCCTCTCGCCGAAGCAGAGACAGGTCAGTAAATCTCCATTGGCTGCTCCTGCTGGGGGTGGAGGGTGCCAGTCATGTTGGACTTAACATTAAAAAATCCAACTTAGCTGTTTTGATGCACTGTAAAGATTGTCCACAGTGACCACAAGATAACCAAGCTGCCATGCTCATGAAGGATTGTTGCAGTTGGTGCTTGTTATGATTAAGCATGCAGAATCATATGCCATCTTACCCAGTAATGCACGCCATTTTTCTCTGTGCTCTGTGTATGTGTGTGTGTATGTTTTTCCATGCATCTAGGTGTGTGAACCAGTTAACTATGTACACAGTTCCCTGCTTCCCCATGAATCTTCACTTAGAAGCCGCAGCTTCTGTTATAAATATTTCTGCTTTGCCTTGTGGCTTTTTAATTAAATCAATATATTATCTTCATACACACATATTTATCCAATATAGAAACAGAAATTTACGGATGGAAAGAACCATAGGTCCAGGACATCGAGACAGCCTGCATCTCCGTAGGTATAACCAGAAATGTTATCATTCTTACATGAGTATTTAGTGTGTCCTTGAATTCTTTGAGTCATGAAAATATCAGAAGAAATGGGACCAAAGTAGTTGTTAATATGGGGAAATGGTATGATGGTGTGGGTTTCTTTATTTTAGCTTCACAATGTCTTTGAGCACATCTCCAAAATACATTCTATCATGGGAATCATGCACAGAAGAGGAGGCATGCATGTACTTTTAGGAGCAGTTAGAATATATTATGTCCAGCCTTCAAATGACATCACACCTTAGCTATGTAGCGGCAGCTCTGAAACAGTTGGGCTTAAACAGAAGCAGCTGGTCCTAAACCTACAATGTTCTTTTTCAGTCCTAAAGAAAATGTAATATAAATGGAATGTGTCAAGGTGGTCAGTGGTGGGGTACCACAGTTACCCTGCCCTCAGGGAGATAAGCTTGTGAGCAGACCATTTACATAACACACCAGCCCAATTACAGACACACCAGTTAATTCTTCCTATTATCTTGGATGTGGTTTTTTGGTTTTACATTGTCTTTTAAAAATATTTTTAGAGAAAATCTTATTACATGCTAAAAGTCATTCTATGTAGAAGAAACAAAATTAACTAGGAAGTTTGAAAATAGCCACCACCCAAATTCTGGTGCTTATCAATTAGGTAAGATTCTTTGACAAAGTAACATACAGTGAAAATACCACTGAAAAGTAGTGTGACCTGCTTCTGGAATACTCTGTTTTGTCTTTATATTTAAAAGATTAGTCTTTTTAAAAATAAAGGTTAAAAAACTTTTTTCATTGTGCTGAAGTACAGCTCAAGGGGCCCAATTCATGAAAAGCAAAATTTCTGAGAAAAGTAAGTTACTCACTTTATATAACTCAAAACATGTTTTGAAGAGAAATCTATCTTCTTAAAGATTTCCCCTTCCTAACCCCCCCTTTCCCACTCCCATTTACCTTGTTCTGTAAAAATGGTTCATGATCACAAAGTTCTTTTCAGTTCCGAGTTACCATCAGTACTCCCAGAATATGGCAGATAAGATAGCTATGTACTTGAATAATAAAATACAATACTATACCCAACCTCTTCCTCCCCAAGTTGGTGAGTAATGTTCATTCTTTTAAATTTGAAATAGTGCACTAGTGATAATGAGGTTAATGCATTGGATTTTTTTTTTTTTAAAACAAAAATAAAAGACTCATGAAAATCTGCATAAAATATTTATGGAAATGGAGTGTTTGAAGACAAGCCAAAATTTAAGCTTATTTGCATGAATTCCTATCACAGTTTTAGTTGGTTGGCTGAAAATAGTGTAAGTCATAGCATTGGAATAAAGTGACTCTGGGACCAAATGGCTACAACACCCAAAGCTTAGTGCTTTCCTGTATATCATTGTGTTTTTTATGTCCTAATGCATAAGGAGGTACTGTTGAGATGGTGGTTGGTCTGAGGAAAAAACATTTATTGGTAGGGGAATGTTTCAATCTCCATTTTGGTCTAAGGATTGGGATTTTGGTGAGTAACCAGTCTTATGGGAATTTAGGCCATTGTCTAGAATGACTAGTATATTCTAGGTGGGAAGAATAGTACTGATGTTCTCCCATGTGTTCAGTCATACAGGAGATGGCAAACCTCACTAGACAGGTGATAGGTTTCATTTGCTTAAACTATCCCATCAGACCTAATCTTTCTAATCCTCGATATTGTCACACATGATAGATGAAGAAAATTGGAAAAAATACTGGACAAAGAAAGTTTTTTGATTCTCACTTGAAATTTTGCTTTTCAAGAATACTCAAATATTTGGATCCCTGTTAAAAACTTAAAAACTCTGATGCTTTAACTTTGACATTTTTTTCCTTACGAAGAAAGGTGTTCACCCCTGCCGAGTCTATGACTTGAATTAATATACAATGTACGTGTATTTACCACCAAATAACCAGAACCAGTGATGCCTTTGGGTGCCAGCCTCTGCCTGCATCTCAGCAGACTGAACTCAAACATAATTGTATTCCTGTTTCATTCGGCCTTGTATCATCATTTCATCTACTAATATCAGCCTGTAACGTAATCTCCTTATTCACAAAGCCTCTTGAATCATATCTCTGATCTACCCCCTTATACTTCCCTTCCCTTTCTCTTCACTTTTACTGTGTTAGTCATGAGAACTCTGGGAATTTTGTGTCCCTGCTTTTCCCCCTGCAATGAAGCCAAGACAAGTTTTCTTACTTTTCTTTGAGCCAACAGACCTTCTCAAACAGAAACCATCTTTTGCCTTTAATCCTGCTGTCCTCAGGCTCATTTCTTTCCTCTCCCCAGAGTCTCGATTCATCCATCCTTGACTGCACAATGTCTTCCTTGTGCAAATAAAGCATTAGAGGGGATTTGGACAGGGGGCTGAAGTGTGCAAGGCTACAGGGTTTCCAGGACGCCTGTGATAAAACTGACAGAGTAACCCCTTCCCTTCTGTTGATAAAAGCAGCCTTCTTGTCTTTAGGCCTAGTGCACCATACAGGAGTGGCACACAGGTCTTCTTGGGCTTCTTCCAAGAAGGGTGCACACAAGGGAGTTGTTTTTGTCCCTAGATAGGCATGTTAGTGAGGCGAATATAGAAAGATGTTAAATACTGTGTTCTGGCTTTGGCAGCTAGTTAACAGAGATTTCCAGATCTTTGCTTACGGTCTTTCTAGATTTTATAAGATCAAGTGGAAGGCTTTTTTGATAAGCAAGAATGTTCTTTGTCTAAAGCAAAAAGGGAGAAGACACAGAGTAGGACACGCAAGGCTTGTGACGGCTCCTTCACAGCTGTGAGTGAGTCTGAGTTGAAATTCAAAAGCAAAGAGGACCATTCCACACTAATGACAAAGAGCAAGTCAATAAACACAAAATCTGATTTATTTGGTCAGTAAGTGGCTGTTAGAATAAAGTACATTGTTTTCTGTCTAAAGAATTATGAAGCCCTGGCCAGTTTGGCTCAGCGGTTAGAGCATCAGCCCACAGTCCAGAGAGACCCAGGTTCGGTTCCCGCTACGGGCACGTACCTCGGTTGCAGTTTGTCTCCGGCCCTGGTTAGGTCGTGTGGGTGGCAGCCACTCGATGTGTCCCTTTCACGTTGATGTTTCCCCCCCCCCCCACACACACACACACACACTCTATCTGAACAAATGGAAAAATGTCCTCAGGTGAGGATAAAAAAAAAAATTATGAAGCTATTAGATGATAATATTATTCGGTGTTACTCCTGGAAGTCTCTAAACACCCTTCCTTTCTTCTTGTTTATGCCTTGTTTTTCTGCTAGTGTTCTGTCAGGCAACAGGAGTTTGGTCCTCCATTTCGAAGTATTTACACATGAAATACTCCCTGAGAAGAAGTAATTATAGCTAACTGGCTTAGAACCTACAGTCTTCATAAAGGAAATTTATTAGAAGACATTGTCATAAAATTAACTGGGCCTAGTTTGCTTTTGGTCGTATTCTCATCCTTGGTCTTGAATTTTGATCCCCAGAAGGGCTGAGTGGCCATGGATCACCTTTATTTAAGGGAAGCCCATTTATAAATTGCATTTGGTTTTTATTCCAAAAGTAAATAAATAAATAAATGCCTTCTATCCTCTTAATCCCTAAAATTCTTTATTATTTGCTAATATGTTAAAAACCTACTTACATCTGCTTTAGTGATTGGCAGTTTTAAAGTTCCCTCAAGCCCTGGCTGGTTTGGCTCAGCAGTTAGAGTGTTGGCCCGTGGACCAGAGAGATCCAAGTTTGGTTCTCACTAAGGGGGTGTGCCGCAGTTGCACTTTGTCCCCAGCCCCAGGGTGTCCTGTGGGTGGCAACCAGTCGATGTGTCTCTCTCACGTCAGTGTTTCTCTCTTTTTCATCCTCCCTCTCTCCCTCCGCTTTATCTGAAGATAAATGTTAAATGTTAAAAAAACAAAATGTCCTTGGGTGAGGATAGTAATTAAATAAATAAATAAAGTAAGTTCCCTCAACTGAAACAAAGGTTGTTTTTGTTTTTGTTTTTTTCAATTTTTCAATCCTCACCTGAGGATATTTTTCCATTTATCTTCAGACTGGGGCGGGGCGGGGGGGAGGGGCAGACATACATCAATGTGAGAGAGACACATCCATTGGTTGCCTCCTGCCTGACCCAGACCAGGGCCAGGGACCGAACCACAATGGAGGTACAGGCCCTTGGCCGGAATCGAACCCATGACTCTTTGGTCCGCAAGCCAACCAATCCTCTAACCGCTGAACCTAACTGGCCAGGGCTGAAATGAAGTCTTTCTATACAGAAGCTAGGTAATCTGCATAGAAAGAAGTATGTGTGTCTCTGTTTTTCATCTTCACATGACTTTTACTTTACCATCTTTGTTCCTCTCGTCCTCTGAGAATGGTGGCCACTAATTGCCAAAGTTTGTCTTAAATTTTATCAGAAAGGTAAGTGCATGTTTGAGCTTCAAGGTATAGGAAAGGTGATCCAGCTCCATGAATAGATTTAAAA